AGTCTGGCCAGGCTCATCTGTTGGTGGTTTTAAAGAGGTTTTGGCCACTTTTCAGCTGGTCAGGCTAAGGAGACCAACTCAAACCAGCTGCTTTAAAGGGATAGTCCATCCAAAAATGTAAATTGTCATTATTTTACTTACCCTCATCATGTTGTTCAAACCAGTATGACTTTTTCTTCTGTGAACTTATGCTGGTAACCAAACACTTTGGGTTACGGTTGACTTTCAGTGCATGAACAAAAATACAGTGCGAGTCAATGGGAACCAAAACTGTTTACCAACATTCTTCCAAATATCTTCTCTCATGCTCCACAGAAGAAAGTAATACAGGTTTGGAACAACATAAGGTAAAGTAAATGATGCAGCAGGATACTATTTTTTTTTTTTTTCGTGATTTTTTTTTTTTCTTTTTGTTATTTTTAATGGCTATTTTAATTTCTCAGGTTCATTTTTTTAATCTTGAGTTCTTAATTAGATAGATATTTCTGACTCAACATTCTGATGTTTGAAACTGTAGTAAAACACGGCCCTAACAATAAACTCATGCCTGTGACTATAATATAGCAAGTTGATGCATTGCTTGGCAACAGTAAACAGCCTACAGTTATGCTAATTAACTGTATTGATGAAATAATTGTTTATTCTGATTAATGCCTATATAGACTGATTCAGTCATAATATTCAATCGACTGCGCAGTATTCTATTCCGAACAGCCCATGACACGCCCACTGTCTGCCATTGGTTAGAAACAGGACACTCCACCCCAAACTCACTCCATTGGTCGAGTCAGTGTTGCTGTGTAGGGCTGGTTGTGATGATCAAATAAACAGAGCAATGTTTTAAAAGCAGCACAGATTCACGTGTGTGTGTGTGTGTGTGTGTGTGTGTGTGTGTGTGTGTGTGTGTGTGTGTGTGTGTGTGTGTTTTAAGGAAATCAACCTACAATTGATTTACTAATAGTTGTCTTTTCATATTAGGCTGGATAATAGGACATTTTAACATCAAAATCACCTTTAAGTTTTCAGGTTTTATGGCTAAGACCTACTCTTACTTGTCGAACGCCTTGCAACGATTGGCTTTTTTTCTTTTTCATCTTCATATCTCCTGCATTTTCCTTTTCATTTGCTTGTATTCCTTCTTTTCCAGCCCCCCCTTCCAATCTCTCGCTCTCTTTCATGAGCAGGCTTTCCATTTTTTCCCAAGTACAGGAACGTAAGTCACTAACTCTCTCCAGTCTTTTAAATTCTCTCTCTCTCTCGTCCCCTCCCCCCTCTCTCTGTCGGTGCTGGTCTCTCCTGATCTGTTCTTCTCTCCCTCCCCCTCTTGCTGCAGTGTTACTGCTAATGTATATTAGCGTCACTGCAGTCCTCCACTGCTCACCCTCTCCTTCTCTCCTTCAGCTTCCATTTCCTCTTCAGTGCTAACAGCATTTTTACTTCTCATTGTGTTGTCTTATTTTGCGCAGGTTCTGTGTCACATGCCTTCACACACACACACACACACACACACACACACACACACACACACACACACACACACACACACACACACACACACACACACACACACACACACACACACACAGGAGAGGGTGAATGCGCTGGGTAATTATACCTTGTCTCCCTCACCCTGTGTTTCAGGATTTCTCACGCCGCTCGCATAATCTCTAAACCCTCTTTTTTTTCTTGCCTACTTCTCTTTTATCTATACTTGTTTTTCTCACCTTCTCTTTGTGACCCCCCTATCCCTTCCCCTTCCCAAAAAATGAAAATAAATAAATAAATAAATGAAATAAAACGTCACCACTGCTGCCGAGCTCAGTTCTGGTGCCTGCCTTACACACACACACACACACACACGGCGCAGTCAAATATTAACCCTCTCAATTCTTCAGTACTTCAGCAGGGATTACGTTTTTAGTCATTTTAAACTTTTGCATATTATTTTTTAGTCAGGTACACGTATATTCCTCATCATGTAATCAATATTTCTTCATATTTTCCCTAATATTAACTATACCAAACCCTAATTGATTCTAATAAATAGTCTTTTATGCTTTTTTTAATGCATAGTTTGAAAGTACCTTACTGGGCCAAATCCTTACTTTTACTCTACCCGTAACTCATTCCACATCCTCTTTTCTCTGTGTTGGTCTAGTTTTGTTTGCCCTCTCTCTGTCGCCGCAGTCCTGCTGCTGTCCGAGGTGCTGATATCAGCCCTCTTCAAACTTCTGAGTCTGCATTCATTTTTATTTCAACAAAAGCTTCTGTTTTTCTTCATTTTTGCTCTAATATCTTTCCCCTCGACCTCTATGCCAGCTTTTTTTCACTTTTCCTCCATCTGTGCATTCGACTATCTCACTTTTTTTAATTGTTTTCTTTAATGATCCCTCCTCTGGGTTCATTTAAGTATCACATTATTCCATTAACATGCTCTCTGAGTCACATTTATGCACCTGAACAGCTTTGAACTCACTATTTCTATATTGCTTTTCCTGCATTAATCTGAAAGCTCTGTGTTTATGCAACAAAATCAATATGATATACAAATTTTTTTTTTATGCAAGCACAAGTACAGTATTTTAACTTCTGGTGCTCATGTAGTTTTAAGTCAATCACTGTGAATACTAGTCAGGGTTTAAACAATTAAACAAAGATCTTTTTGAAACAAATTTCACCGATAATTACAAAGAAATGGCATGTAACACATTGAATTAAATGTAACATTTTGAAGCAGAAACTCTGAAATAGTATTTTCTTGTAAAATGTGCTCCGATAATCTTTGATTTACTTTACATTTACTTGGTGTATTTAAAGTTTAATAACAAGTTATAACTTAATGCACTTACTTCTATGATAAAGTTACCACAACCTTATATATATTCTACACTAACATAAACAGCACAACTCTTGCAGACATCGCATACATCCGCTATCAGAAGTAAATAGTCTTACCTTTAATATTTCCATCCTCTTTCTTGACCTTCTTCTCTAGATCCCTCTTGCTCAAGCTGTTTAAGTGTATTTCTGCGAGAGTTGACTAACTTTCACCAGAATGCCTAGAAAAGAATTTGAATAGACAGAAAGGAAAGTGACTAAGGAGTTGAGTTTCTAGCTGCCGAAAAGTGCGATTAAATAGACAGAATGGAAGAAAAAACATAAAAAGAGGCAGAGAGAGTAATGGAAGAAGGAGAAAGTGCTTGTGAAATGAAATGATGAAGGAATCAGCTGAAAGGAGGTGATGTAGTAGAAAAGAGAAAAGTGATGCTGGACTCCAGAGTCGTTCTCAGTGAATTGTGATTCCTTAATGCGGATTTGGAGAGCATGGGATGGGGGGATGGGGGGTGGAAGAGAGGAGGAGAAAGGTAAGGGGGGGGGGGGCAAACAGAGATGGGATAGGAACAGAAAGAGAGCAAAATGGAATGAATACTTTAAAAGCAAGTAAATCAACCATTTCGAGCAGGGCTCTTTACTACAATAATAGAGAGGGGAAGAAGAGGGAGAAGCACAAAGTCAGGGTTTTACTGCAGCAAAGCTGCACTGTTCTCTCCAAACCTCTCTCGCTCGCTCTCCCTCTCTCTCGCTCACACCCCCTCCTGCTCAGTGACGCTCGGCTACAGTGCTGTACTGCTGTGTGTGCATAATGAGCACCTTTCTATCTTCCTCTTTCTCTCTCGTTCCCTCCATGCAATGAAGCTGCAGTGAAGCTCTTGACTTATTAGCTGCTTCATTTAAAGAGATAGAGAGACGGAGGGAAAGAGAGACAGATAGAATTCTAATCAGTCGCAATAGTCTCTCGCCCTCAGTTGCGTCTAGCAGTGGCGTAGCTTTGAGAGTTGCGGGCCAAAGGATGTCTGAAAGCAATACGCATGAATGATGGATTGACGGACAGTATCTGTAGTCGACATGCATGCAATTGCATTCAATTATATATGAAATATTCCTTCGGTTTCATGCATTAATGACTTTTTGATTACTAAACTTACCTTTTTCAGTAGTTATCATGCTTTACAATTGATCACTGAAGTATTGAGAGAGAAAAAAAATAATAATGAATTGTTTGACTGCCAGTTATATAATTCTCATATTGCATTCTATTCTATTCTGTTGTCTAGTAGCTCTACTTATCGTGTTCTCTCTTATATTTATCGTTTCTGTTTGCATTTGTCATTTGCGGGTTGCATCAGATAAAAGCATCCTCTAGATGAATAAATGTAAATCTCATTGTGGATAACTTGTGCTAAGGGACAATTGTTTTTATGATCCTGTTGTTTAATGTGTCCTGTGTGTTCAAAACGGCATCAAAGCCCTTTGTATTGTACTGAATGTTTCCGTACGATTGTTATTCGATGTGCTCTGATCTTTTTTAGTGTCTTACAGATAAGTGTGTAGTTGATTAGTTTACATGAAATACTCTTGGGAAGTCCTGCAGTGTGAGATGCTAAAAACTCTAAAACTCTTTTAAACAGCATTATGATTTTGTAACCTATTATTAATTCAGAGACCGCATGCAATTGTAAGATTTGAAGGAAAAGGGTGATTTTAAATGGAGACCAGTTACTGTGCATGAGCTACACTCTTAAAAATGTCCTTTATTGACATCTATGATTCCATAAAGAATCTTAAACATCCATGGATCCTTTCCATTGCACAAATGGTTCTTTTTGGAATTGTTCACTAAAAGGTTCTTTAGGAAACCAAAAATTAAAGGGGAGGGGGGACCATTCTGGACTCTTTATTTTTAAGAGTGTATAAGATGCATGCATTCTTTAATCTTGATGTTGATGTCATAAAGTCATGCGTCAATTACGCGCACACATGAAGCAACTTTTGCCCGAAAAAACACACAAGGTCACATGGCAACCTTCATGTCACTGCAGTATTTTTGGCATATCAATAGCGGGACCCCCATATGATGTGCAAGATCTCTTCCTTATACCTTTACTAAACATCTTCCCTCTTTCTCTCCCCCCTCCCTCCCTCCTGCCTCCCCCCTACAGACCGCTCTTCTCTCCTCCCCTCTCCGTTTTTTCTCCTCCTCTCCCTCCCCTATGCTCAGTTCGGTGTGTGTCTCCTCATTCAAAGGGCGCAAGGGTGGGAACAAGTCGTCCAACAAAGCATGTTACAGCGCCGACATGACTTGCCCGTCGGAAAGCGAGAAAATCGTCATCAACTGCGGCGGCGTGAGGCACGAGACGTACCGGAGCACGCTGAAGACGCTTCCCGGGACGCGGCTGTCGTGGCTCACTGAGCCGGACGCCTTCAGCAACTTCGACTACGACGCAAAGTCAGACGAGTTCTTCTTCGACAGGCACCCGTCCGTCTTCTCGTTCATCCTCAACTACTACCGGACGGGCAAGTTGCACTGCCCTAACGACGTGTGCGGCCCGCTGTTCGAGGAGGAGCTCGCCTTCTGGGGCATCGATGAGACCGATGTGGAGGCGTGTTGCTGGATGAACTACCGGCAGCACCGGGACGCGGAGGAGGCGCTGGACAGCTTTGAGACGCCCGAGCCGGAGGTACCGGACGATGACCCTGCGCTCGCGGGGGACGGAGACCTGAAGCGGCTCTGCATGCAGGAGGACAACAGGAAAGCGGGCTGGTGGCGCGTGTGGCGACCCCGGATCTGGGCGCTCTTCGAGGACCCTTATTCATCCAAATACGCGCGGGTGAGTGTTCAGCACCTCTTTACGCATGGACAGCTCCGTTAACTCGGTTAACTCATGGTGCTGGTGGGCTGATATGTTGCCGAATCCATGAACTTATAACCTGATTAGTACATCCAAGTGCTTTTTGAAGACCCAAAATGTTGTATGCATGAACTAGTTTGGTTGTTAACTGAAGGTTTTAGGTTCCAATACGAGAATGGTTTGTGGATTGTGCCCTTGAGTTTGAGCATTTAGAAAATGTACACTCTTCTTCTTTAGTGGTTCTTTATAAGTTATTTAGGTTATTAAAATATTCTTTGAACTATATGAAAAAATGGTTCTTTTTAAGAACGTTTGATTCTTTTGGGAACCTAAATGGTTCTATTGCATCGCTTTAAACACCCCCTTTTGCAAGTGCTAAAATAAAAGTTATTTATTGCCATTGAGGGTTTCATCAAAAACCATAAAATGTTCTTTAGAAAATGTTCTTCACTCTAAGAAAAAAAATGGTTCTTTTAAAAACTTTTTTCTGAAAGGTTCTTTGAGGAATGTTTCTTCAGCTGCATCTGTAAAAACTCGCTTTATTTTTTACGAGTGTTCACTTTTTTAGCCCCCCTTTATGAATAGACAAATCCTTAGTATATACTTCTGCTAACCCGCTAAACTAACTTTCATAGTTTAACATAAAGGTTGGACATGTTGAAGCTGAAAGTTCAAACACCATAAGCGTTGATCAGATATCATTGTGCCCTTGAATAAGACGCCTAGCCTCAGGTTACTCCAGAGGGATTGAACCAGTAATTAGTCACTTTTGATGAAGGCATCAACTAAATGAGTAATTAAGAAATCTGTGCACTTTTATTCCTTCACAAGGGATACTAAATACTTAATTTAACTCAACTTTTAACTGTGTGTTAACTGTGAGATGGGAGGTCATTGTGCCTTTATGCTTGTTTTTACTTAATTAGTAAATCTAGATGCTAGTTACTCATATATACATTGGTGAGTGTGTATGTTTAGGTAACATTTTGTAGTTTATTAACCTTCTTTGAGGTGATGCAGCCTAGTGGGTTGGTAACTGAACATTTGTAGGTTTGTAGGTCCATGAGAGTTGAAGTATCACTGTGCCATTAAGCAAAGATACGTCCCTTAATAAAGTGTACAGTAAGTGACTTTTTATAGTAAGTGGCTTTGGATAAAAGCGTCAGATAATGTCTAATTAGTCAGTAATTGTACATTCTGGAGTATTTAAAGATCTGAACTGGTAATTGAGAAGCTGTGGGATCACGAACTGTCCTTCGCTGAACTTTGAAACAATTTTCACTCAGAAATTGCTTGTAAAACGGCAATTAAAATATTGAATTGAACACGACATTGTAAAGTAGAAAGGCTGAAATATTTTCTTGTGAAAATGTGCTCCAGTAATCTTCATTTTATTCACAGTTTCAAAAATATTTTGAGTGTTGATCAAGACATTTACCCTGAGGTTAAGTCACTGTAGATTAACCTGTAACCCAAGCTGGTTAAATGAGTTTTGAAGAGTGCAACCTGTCAAAAAGAACTGGATATTCCCCCAGAATCACACATTGCATCACCATCAAACACATACCATACTCATATTTCTGCGTGTAATTGCACACTGTAAAAAATTATCGTGATTTTAACGGTAAAAGACTGTAAAAATGCTACAGTGAAAAACTGTTAATTGGTTAACAGAAAGTCTCCTTACTATATACGGTAAATAACTGTGATAGATCTAACGGTACATTTAATGTAATTTTACTGTAAAATACCGTTAAATTTACAGTTTTTGAAAGTGAAAAAGAACAACTCATTGTATAATTTACAGTGAAAAACCGTAAATTGACATTCCCACAATTCCCTGCGTGACACTTCACATTTGATGTATTTTTGTTGAAATAACTATGTTTCTTCTTAGTTTTATTAGTTCTTTTCTTATCAGTTATGTACATTAGAGTTTTATGTTACATTTAATGTTGTTAAATTAATGTTTATTGCATTTTTAAAATTTCATGTGTTACCATGATGCTGTTTAGTGTTTGTGCGAATAAGACTGTGCAGCTTCAATATTGGTACTAACTTTCTCGTGGAAGAGCTGCTTGTGATGAGCTTTGATTTATCATGTGACTTTCTTCACTGCTGTGATGATTGTTGGTTGTCAGTGTAATACAATGGTAATACAATGGTACAAAACAGATATTAATACATATATAGGTTGGAAAATTAACATTATATCAAATAATGAAATACGGTTTATTACTGTAAATTTTAAGTTAAGTCTGTAAAACCAATAACGTTTGTACCATATTTTTGACGGTAAAGTTCTGGCAAACACAGCTGCCGGTATTTTACCGTAAAAATGGCATTTTATTTTTTACAGTGCATGTTATCGTGCAGGAGCCCCAGATTCATCTGCAGTCTTTGTTTCAGCTGTTTTAAAAAGTTGCACCTTACAGTAGCAGCCACCATTACTGCATTTATAAACCCACTGCTCTTATGAATCTTTTATGCTTCTGATGCCCGACGCAGGAAACACAGACGCTTGTTTCTTGTACGAATCCTTGGTCATTTTCATTTAAATGCGAGCTTGTGTTTTCAGAGCGAATAACGTTCAATCTGATGCGATTATAACTGATACAGGACGAAACGGTTGCTGCTTCAGAGACAGGGTGCACTTGATTGATATTGCACAAATATGATAGACTATCACTCATATTTTGGCTCAGAGGCATAGTCAAATATTTGAAAACAAATGCCCCAGTGTGTGCATAGACTGTCGGTGTGTGTGGATGTATCAGGTTCAGCTGAGGAAGTGAATTGAGGTTGTGTGTATACAGAAAATCTATGTGCATTTGTCAATGGTGACTCACTTATAGCAGGCCATATGCTTTTTAAAGTTGTTTGATCAGCACGTTTGGTGATTATCACATGCTGTGGCGTGTCTTTCGTGATTTTAGATGAAATTGAGATGTATGGCTGTACAATTCAAAAGCTTTTCAACACATTATGTCATAGAGGTACTCTGATCTTCCTATCTGAAACTAGATATAATGACTTTACTGTGTGAATTTTTAGGGAAGAGCTTAAAAGTATGGTCCACGTATATATAGACGAGGCACGATCGCTGTCTGCTGTGTGTTTGTGCGCTTACAGATGGATTTAGACTGATATCTGAGGAATGCATCTTCATTGTCCAAATGTCACTCGCTGGTCAATATTTGCCACAGTTCATTCACCTTGTTGTAAGCCAGGGTTTACTGTATAGTTGTTGCTGAGCACATGCAAGCATTAACATGCATGTTTGCATATGGTAAACACAATCAATTAGTGGTCGAACGATAAAGGTTTTTAATGTCTAGTGCTGACTGATATCTAGAGAGCAAGGGGAATGAAGGCAGTTCTGTCAGGACCACTATCGTCAAATACGATTGACATTAGCGTACAGTTTGGATTGGCGGTATGTTTCCGTTCTGGGCGAGAACATTTCATACACTATGGCAATTTAAAGTGCTTTACAGAAAATGATGAAAATAATCACAAAATAAAAGCAAGGAAAATTAAAACTCTTTTAAAAAGAAATTAAAAGAGATATACAATACAGTTAAAACAGTATTTTTCACAACTCCCAGTTTTACTCTGAGATTTTCCCACTGTGTCTGTGGTGTTCGTTCGGCGCGCCTAAGAAAGCTATTGGACGTCTCCGATGGACACGATTTTTCCCTAAATTCGGACAGGAGGTGCTCTGGAAAGCATTTGAATTTGTCAAATTTGAATCACATATTTAAATGATTTACTCCATTCGAAATTTTGGGGTCTTTTTTTCTCAAAGTAACACTTTTATTTAGCAAGGATGCATTAAATTGATCAGTAAATACATGTATAATGTGACAAAAGATTTGTATTTCAAGTAGAGTAAATGCTGTTCTTTTTCATCAAAGAGTTCTCAGAAACAAAAAGTCTCAGCTCCACAAAAATATGAAACGGCACAACTGTTTTCAACATTGATAATAATAATAATTAATAAATATAATAAGTACAATTTAGTGAAGGCAAATGAGATGCTGAATTTAAATTAAACTATTTTACACTTTTTGGACATTATTCATAATTAAAGGAGAACACATTTCTTGATAAATCATTGATAAATCCATACTTTGTGCTGTTTAAATTGAATTAAATGCAGAAATTTACATAACGATTTTTACAGAGAAATTGATTCTGCTTGTTTTTCATGAGTAACGCTTATTTATTTGAACATATTTATGCAAAATTCTCCAAACACTTAAAAAAAAAAGAGAACATGGTTTCTCACAAAGCATTTGACTGGTGTCACGGTTTCTCTCCGGTCATGCATAAGTAGACGACACCGATCCGTAGCCTACAGTAACACTCCAGTGATCTCCAATCTACCAGGACAACACAAAAAGGACGGACAGTGGAAGGTGAATGAGAGAGGTGAAAGAAAGGATATTGCAGGCGTGATTTAAAGCCACTCGCTATAGATTCATCATGTGGGTGAAGTGTGAAACATTTATGAGCTGAGCGATAATCTTCATGTTTTTCATACCAACATCAGTCCTCTCTGAGAATCCAACACACACACACACACACACACACTGGCGTGCAACACTGCTGCAATCCTGCTCTCCACGCAGCCTGAGCTGTGCACTAGAGCAAAGCATGAGCGAGAGAGGGTCAGATGTAAGGAATATGGGGGGAAACAGAGATGGAGGAAGCTGAGCCATGAGAGATAGATATTTGAGAGGGGGAGTGGCTGGAAACGAGAGGATGGGGGGAGAGGAATGCATTATGGACTCATTTTAACATCTTCAATTATTACTAAAGGCACCGGACGCCCTCCTTCCTCACTCTCTGTGGACTATTGACTGATCGTTTATCGATCGCTCGAGTCTTTGTCTCTCTGAAGGCATCCGATCAACACACACACACACACACACCCCGACTGCACTGCAAGTAATACTGTGCAGTTGCACGTGACA